ATTCGCTTGGGTCAAGATAATATGTGTATGATAGTGGATATCCTTGTTGGGCCATAGAAATTATGTGAGTAACCATTTGGGCATATAAGGCCCATTTATCGGCATCGGTATACTGACAGGTAAAAGCCATAATAAATTATGAAGACCGCTAAATTAAAAGTTGGGGGATGTATATTCATTCTAAAATCCAATAATAATTGGAATAATGATACGTATTTCATTTGACTCGATAAAATGAAATATAATTAAAACAGTCCGGAAAATACAACTTTCGGGACCAAGTGTACACTTGGAGACACAAAGGGATGACCACCCATTTAAGTGGGGGCCACCCCACGACCTTAGTCTTGCAAATAGCAAGGGGAGCCGCATCATTTGGCTGGTGAAAGGGGTTGACTTGATTGGGGGACAAAGTATGAAAGGAAATAGGACCCTCCCCCGTATCATTGTGAACAAGCCAAAATTGATATCTCCATCACCCCTAAACTCATAGGCTCATCCAAACCACTAAAGGAGGAGAGATAAGATCGGGAAATACTCCATTCTCATCCAACATACACGCACCAAGCTAGGGAAGAAGAAGGAGGAGAAAAGATAAGAGAAAAGAGGAGTTTTGGGAGAAAAACTTGTAGTTAACAAGGTAATGACTTCATTAATCTCATTTCTTCTCTTTAATCATATTTCATACTCCTAGGGTAGTTCTACACGTTGAATGGTGTGGAATGAGGTTTGAAAGGAAGTCCTAAGTCCAAGAACGGACTTAGAGAACAAAGTTGACGGGTTCGTCGGAAAATAACCTTTTAGAGGTTATTTCTGTTGACATGGGTTTTATGATGATAAAACCTTGTTGTTAACTTGTATAAGGTACTTCAAGAACTTTCACGGAGTTGAAAGGGTCGCCGGATTTTGTTGAAGATCGCTGGAGTTTCACCGGGGCCAAATCGGGGAGGCTAGAACTTCATAAGCTTCATTAAGGTGAGAAGATGGCTTTATGCTTTATAACTTTTGCGTGAGGCATGAGATTACCTAAATTAATCAAGAATATGTTTTATGAATCGATTAATGATATTAAAGCATGTGCTATGACATGTTAAAGAGTATAACATAGTTGGAAAGCATGATTTGTAGGTTTGATTAATGAAATTATTATAAATTGATATGTATGATGTTACAAGGACCCAAATAGGTATTTTTGGATTAAGGACGTCAAAGAGTACATGCATGCAAAATTTCACGTTAACCGGACTTCGTTTGGGCGGTCAAACGAGCGTTGACCGCCAAGTCAACTGTCATACCCGACCGGGTATTAGAAAATACCCGAACGGGTATTTACTAAAAATCTGGCCCAGGGGCTACTGTCTCCTGTACTCGACCGGGTACAGGTGGGTACCCGACCGGGTACTGGGTGTCACACCTAGAAGTCAGTTTTGAACGAGTATAACGAGGGCCGTTCGGGTGGGACCCGCCCACGTTGACTATTAAGGATTACTATCTGACTATAGGACTAGGTATTGTCCATAGTTAAAGGAATGTAAGGTTAACCATATCCAGGTTAGGGTTTGGTAAGGAATAGGGTTGGGGTTGAGTATCCCCTGGACGGTAAATGATCCTAAAACTCGGTTGAGGTTGAGTATCCTCGGGACGCTAAATGATCCTAAAACTCGGTTGAGGTTGAGTATCCTCGGGACGGTAAATGATCCTAAAACTCGGTTGAGGTTGAGTATCCTCATGACGGTAAATGATCCTAAAACTCGGTTGAGGTTGAGTATCCTCGGGACGGTAAATGATCCTAAAACTCGGTAGGCCATTATGTATGTAGAACGTAGCTTGTGAGCTAGGCATTCGGGATGGAGGGGAAAGGTCGGGTAAGTACCTTATCCATAAAAGACTCTTTAAATGAAAATGACTCACGAGTAAAGTATTTTACAAGTATATACGGTATGTATCATCTTGTGGATGGGGAACAATGGTTACATCTATACATATATGTATCACCCTAATTTTGGGCCTCATGTCTCAAACATTAGTTATTCCTCATATAGCCTGCTTGTCACTAGTACTTTTTATGGAGTACTGGCCCCTTCGGGGGCCTCACATTTTTCAGGTTAAGGCTATAGTCCTACTACCTGCACCTTTGCCTAGGGTGGACTCCAGATAAGGAAGACTTGGTTCGTGCTTCCATTCTTACTTGACTTGTGAAAATGCTCATGGATATTTAAACAATGTTTCTGTTAAACTATTGAAGGGCCTGCGTGCTCATGTTTGCCACGTGTGGCTAACTATCAAACATATTTTATTTCCGCATTTGTTTGACTAATATATATTGATGTTGATTGTATGGGTTTACTAATCCGTTTGGCAATAGAATCTAACGGACGCCTTGTATGAGTTAATAAGAATGAACTACATTGTTCTTATTGGGTTGTACGGCGGTTGTCTACGTGGAACAGACGCGGTCCGGGGCGTGACATGAGATCTTCGAATCTTCGTTCTTCGGATCTTCAAATCTTCTTGAATAAAGAATTCAGATTGAAGGGCCTCCGGTTTTCAAGTGGCTTGATCTTCAACAAAAGGGCCGTTTTATGGCTTAATCTTCTGTTTAAGGGCCTCCCGAAATATATGGCTTGATCTTCAATTGAATTTTGATTCAATCTTCATATGAATATCTTCAAATCTTCAAAGATTCGTTCTTCATATCTTCGAATCTTCAAAGCTTCGTTCTTCAGATCATCGAATCTTCAAGTTTCGTTCTTCAGATCTTCGAACGTTCTTCAACTTTTGGCTTTGTTTGATCAAGAATAGATGAAAATCACAAAGGATTAATCACATATTCTTGACAAAAACGTGGCTTGATATCTTCCGATGTTTCGGAATCCTTCAGAGCCTTTCGGGAGTTCTTCAGAGCTTTTCTGCAGCGTTTCTTCGACTGAAAATTCTCCTCTCTTCATCTCAACTGAGACCCCTATTTATAGGTGTGGAGGGGGTGAAAATATGGTTTAGGGTTGGAGAAATTCGTCCATACCCTTTGGGCCTCAATTAAAATGGGCTTTGGGCCCTATTTCCTTGGATTTTAATAACTAGAAAAATCAGCACCTGTGCAATGTACTTGGACATCTTTCTTAACAAGGTTTGGAGCTATTTCTCATGCATATGGACACATTTCTTAGCCAGATTCATTGCTCTCTTTAGCAATTGGGGTCATGCCTCTTATACATTGGGTCATCATCTGATGTTGGGCTTAAAATGGAGAAATTAATAGGACGAGTCCATCCTTTTAAGGAATTAATTTATAATTAAATTAATTGGGCACTTTATATGACCCAAATTAATTTAATCTCTAAATTTTATCCGAACGGATCCATATCAATATTAGCATTCACGATCAGTCCAGTAGAATCTGACGTTGGCCCAATAAATTCAAAGAAGGCCCAATGACAATAACAACTCGGCTTGAATATCTCGAAAGTCCAATTGACTTATGAACAAATGGCCCACCAATTTTAGATGTTCACAGGGTTAATAATAACCAATCGACATTATAGTGCGTGATACATACTATAAAAACATTATAGTGCGTGATACATACAATAACTAAAAGTCAAGGTCAATCTTTGTCCCCGTATCAAGGGTTACCAATCGTTGCGGTTTGAAAATTCTAATTGTTGATGAAGATGAAGAAATCACTGACAAGACTCAGAATGTTGTATTCAAATAAGTGTTCAACAATGTTTAGGTTTATATTAAATGCATATTTACAATGTTATGGTTTCAACATATTTGTTGGATGTTTGTGATCTTTTAAGTAATGCTTAGTACTCTCAGTTTGATCATAATATTATAAGTGTGTTTCGTTTAATGCTGCGATGTATATCAATATTACATGAAGATAAATGTTGTCACTAATTGATAATGTGATTTGAATTACTAAGCATAAATAAATTTGAAAGAAAAATTCTCAAACCGTGCATAGGACGAGTGAGTTTACTGGTGCATATAATAACCAACTTAAAACAAAAAATATTCATATGTATAGTACTCCGTATATAATACTCCGTACTTATACTAAGAAGCTGTTCTCTTCGTCTGATCTGAATGTTTCTGATATGAATTTATTAAGTTCTGATCTGATCTGATCTGAATTTTTCTGATTTGATCTGATCTGAATCTTTCTGATCTGGTCTGATCTGATCTGAATCTTTCTGATCTGATTTGAATCCTTCTGATCTGATATGAATCTTTCTGATCTGATCTGAATATTTCTTTAATTATAATTATAATTATAATTATTATAATTTTAATTATAATTATAAATATAATTTAAATATAATTCATAATTATAGTCATAATTCTAAAAATATTTAATTATAATTATAATCATAATCATAATTATAATTATAATTATAATTATAATTAAAGTTATGAAAAATTATACCTACTGCACTCATTATAATTATAACTATAATTATAATTGTAGTTATATTTTTAATTATAATTATTTCTATAATAATAATAATTGTAATTATAATTATAATTACTCTGTATAATAATAAAAATAAATAATAATAATAATAATAATAAAAATAATTATTATAATAATATGGAGTAATAATAATAATAATAATAACAATAATAATTAATAATAATAATAATAATAATATTAGAAATAATAATAATAATAATAATAATAATAATATTATTATTAGAAATAATAATAATAATAATATTAATAATCATAATAATAATAATTGTTGTTATTATTATTATTATTAATATTTTATAATAATAAAAGTGATAGATCATGTTTGAAATTTTCTGATCTGATCTGATCTGAATGTTTCTGATCTGATCTGAATGTTTCTGATCCGATTTGATCTGATCTTAATTTTTCTGACCTGGTATGAATGATTCTGATCTGATCTGAATCTTTCTGATGTGATCTGAATTTTTAAGATGTGAATAAAATAAGATTGTGATATCATCATCAATGGCTGAGGAAACCTGAGACCATGAGATGCCTTATATACCAAATCTTCCTTCCCCTTTCATCCATCCCTCTTCTTCCTATCCCCAATTCCCAGTCTCTCGCAGCTTCTCCTCTTCGTCTATCCGTCTGTACTCTGTATCCGTGCCCTCTTCTGTCTCTGCGTGTGTAAGTTCTCTCTCGATTGTTAACAGGTTTCTCTCGGGTTGTGGATTGCAGGGTTTGAAATCTCAGGCCGGGTCCAGTTGGGTCGGGTCGAGGGGAATGGCGAAGAAAGTAGATAGCGTTCAACATGGCCCGGATTGTATCTCGTACCTGAGGCAGCAAGAAGCTGCGGAAATCGATGAATTGCTCATGGGTCCTTTTGGCTTCAGTGTTGATCAGCTTATGGTTTGTAAATGATGGCTGTAAAAAAATCTTTTGTAGCGAGGTTCTGTTAGGGCATGTTTGCATACTAGAAAATGCTAGGGAAAACAGAAGTGATTAGGATAGTTATTATCTTATGTGCAATATGGGTTTACCTGATAAAATGAATTAGGCGAGTGGAATATGATTACTTTTTGAAATGTACATAATTTCTTAATCTTATAATAGAAATAAATAAGTAAATTATTTCAAACAAATATATAAAATATATATATAAAGTTTGAGCATATCCTGTGATCTATCCCAATTTATTTTCCTTTCAGTTTGCCTCCATAATCTCCTTCCACTGTATTTTCGGGGTTCCAAACTGACACTTAAGTCTTTGATTTGTTGTCGTCTTCATTGTAGGAATTGGCTGGTCTTAGTGTTGCCAATGCAGTTGCGGAGGTCAGTGTTTTTTTTAATTGTATTCTTTAGGCATAGTTTTTTATACTTTCTTATGTGACTTTCTGTCTTAATTGCTTGATTAATCTGGAAAACGATTGAAAACTCATGTAAGTGTTGATTGAAGGGTAGAAATGTAATGTCTAAGGGTAGAAATGTAATGTTTAATCATATTTATTAGGGATATAAAACATGAAGTCCTATTCAGGGAATACTCCTGTGTTTTAGTCCTATTTAGTGCAATTTTCTCAAAAGATTTCCATCATCATTCATCAACTTTCCCCTCTTACTTCGTATGAGTTCCCTGCCCCTTTTTTGAAATGAATCAACTTAGCTATTATTAATAAAGTCATGAGCTAAAACGTTCAAGATACATGAAGGATCCCATAGCCAAACTTGAAAATCACCCAAAGAAATGCCTACTCTCACTAGTTCGTGAGCAACCCAGTTTGCTGATCGTCTAACAAAAGAGAGAAATGCTATGAAAACTCGTAGCTATATCTCTAACATCATCTATAATCAAGACAAATTGAGAATGCCCCGCTCCGGATTTGAGTGCCTCCCGAATCCCCAATGCCTCAGCCTCCGTTGAAAGACAAGCCCCTTTCCAAGGCGAAGCACCCCCTGCCATGAAATTCCCCAAATGATCACGAAGCATCCACCCTAGTGCGCCCTCCTTCACTGCTGCATCTATGTTCAACTTAACATAGCCAAACTCTGCTTTTTCAAGGTTTTACACCTCCTGCAGCTGGTTGCCTTTCTCCTGCACCCGTCTCCAATTCGGCTGCAAAGATTTCCCCAAAACTTGTGCCTGGTACGAACTAACCTCGTCCCCCCTCTAAAGTTTGCTGTTTTGGCATTGCCACATCCCCAACAACAAACTATCATCACACTACACTACTCACTTTGGATGACAAAAGCAATTCAAACCACCCCAAAAACGAGCCATCTGGGTTAGCACCCAAATCCCACCCCAATTTATTCCACAATTCAGCTCCAAAAGGATATTAAACCATTGAGTGAGCTATTGATTCAATACCCGTAACACAAATAGGGAAATTCATTGGGATGTCCACCCCTTCCCTTTGAGGCAGTCCGCTGTGGGAAGGCGACCAGTGCACGCCTGTCAGAATTTTTTCTGATGTTTGGAGGGATCTAACAACATACCAACCTTAAATTTCAAAACATTTTGGGATCAACTAACATAAATCAGTACATCATATCAGAGTCAAAGGAAAGAAAGATAAAAAGATAAGGTAAGATAAAAAAGATAAGATAAAGTTAAAAATGTTAAGATAAATGGGATATAAAGAATAAAGAATATATATAAAATAAAAAGGGTAAAAGGATAAAGAACTTAAGAAATGTAAAGAAGAAATAAAAAGAGAAAAAAGAGCGAAAAAAGATCAATCCTCCACCGTCCACACAAATATTCACCCTCCACTTTGCTCTCTCCAAAGCCATATTCTTGTCCAACCCAAAAAGAAGCATATCACTCTTGATTCCTCTAATCTATGTCTGTTTGGTTTTTTTTCTTCCTCTCCTCCTTGCCTCTTCTCCTCACCTCTCAACTCGTCTAACAGGTGCATCACTCGGTCTTTTACGCAAATGAACAAACCACCGCAATCGAGACTCCTGCATCATATCTTTTATAGGTGCTACTGTGTTAATTCCACCTTTTGTCTGTTTATCTCATTTCTCAAGCGTCCTTTTTTGGTAGGCCCACACATCCAACACAACATGTGCATCTCTGTCACACTCGTCCTTTGAGTGTGACATTGTTTCACTGCCCAACACTCTACACCATATAGATTTTTTTTACCCCGGCCCCCGGGGGCGTCGGGAGAGGGGGTTTAGGGTAATCTGGGATCAATCTCACTCCATTGAGATTGATTTGCTACAATATAATATTTTGGCAAGATAAAGAGAGCAATCAAGTAGAATAATGAGGAGTAATAGTTGATTGATTTGCTTGATTGACTTTATTATGATTTGATTTTAATACCTTCATTATTTGATCTATTTTAGGAAGTGATTTTCTAGGATCTCCCTTTCCTTGTTTTCTACATTCATATGCATGTAATCCCTCTTATTAAAAGGAGCTTTGCTATGCTAATAAAATATCGAAGAAAAATAAAGAAGAAATTCAAGGAGAAGGAAAACTCCCCAAATTTGCATAGCCCCTATCAATTTATCATTTTTTATTTCATTCTAGTGACAAAGAATCCTGGTACATAAGGCAACAGAAAGGGAAATCCTAGAAAATCACCTCCTAAAATAGATCAAATAATGAAGGTACTGAAATCAAATCATAATAAAGTCAAAAAAGCAAATCAATCAGCTATTACTCCTTATTATTCTACTTGATTGCTCTCTTTATGTTGCCATAATATTATATTTTAACATGCATCATTACATCCCTCTGGGAAAATTCAAGTGCTAAAACTCAAAGTGGATAAAACTGCAGGAGATTTTTATGTTCAAAATTTTTGTTAAGTAAATCCAAGTGCTAAAATTATGATCTCATGGTTAAAATACTTTTTACATCTTTCAGTTGTTTTTTTTCAAAATGAGGTCCAAATTTATTTACTTTTATATCAGAATATTTGACTTTTGAAATCATTATTATTTGCAAAATAATGTTATGGATTGCAGTAAAATTGACTGAGGGAATATGTATAAACTGATGGGAATTTTGATTTATTGACGGAACTGGGTTGCAGTTAGCTTTAGCTCTCATTTCTATAGGTTACATTACAAGTGATAGTCTCTTTTCTTGAACCAAATATTCATTATAGCCAACTCATATGTCGAGGCAAAATCTAAAATGTTCTTTCCCACTTCATATCTAGTGCCAAAACCATGTCCGCCATGGATTCTCTCAAAAACATCACGACTCGAGCCCGCATGCCTATTGAGGTCGCCTCCTATGACCATTTTCTCTCCCCTCGGCACTCGCCACACCAATTTCTCAAGATCTTGCCAGATTTTTTGAGTGATAGTGATAGGTGCATCTAAAGCCACATGTGGTGCACTGGTGCATATGACTTACTACATGACCTAGCGACATTTGCATTCTTATCACCACACCCAGACCTATGAAGTGTAGAGCACCCTTGCAACACCACCCCATACGGAGGGATGACGCGTCGCTTACGGGCGACAACCTAGTTTAGCGATATTCATATTTCGATTCATGTCATGTGATGTGACTAAGTTATATTGTTGGCCATCACGCGCCTACTACAACATCCTCTTTCTTTATCCTGGCTTCGGAAAAGCATGATACCAAAAATGATCTCATGGTGGAGTTAACGGTGCATCCCATAGTTCCACATAACAGTCCATCCGCTCCACTCCATTGGTTTATCTTTACCGACCAAAGTCTGGTAACAATTCCTCACATAATACCCACCGTTTGCCTCCCTAGACCACACCACCTTATCTTCAACTTTCCGCATACTTACTGGGGTACTCTCCACCAGAGACTGATCTCTGACTGTTAATAAATTAGAGAGGATGTCACCGTCCCTTTGCCCTCTTTCTTCATGAATAAGCCCAGCTACCAAAGCCTCCTCTAAGCCCTCTGATTACCATGGATCTGTCCAGAGATTCTCTGATTTCCCATCCCCGATACGCCAGCAGTATCCCACTTGAATTGTCGGTTTCACCTCCCATAAGCTCGTCCAAACAAAAGACAGATTATGGTCTAGCAAAGCAATAAATGTTGAACGGGGGTGATGCCTGGCCCTATAAATTTGCCCGACCAGAGTATTTGGTTCCGAGAATAGCCTCCACCGCTCCACGTTTGCTTTCCCAACATTGCGATATTAAAATCACGGAGATGTCGGAATCCCATCCCTCCTTTTGTTTCTGGTCTGCACAATTCCTCCCAGTCAGTCCGCCGGATACCATTCCCCGCATGTCTCATCCACCAAGACTGATTCATCAGTTGTTCGATCTCAGTGCAAAGTTATTGTGATAAAAGAAACACATGCATCACATAATTTGGCATAGCTTGTACCACCAACTTTAGTAAGACTTCACGCTCTGCTTTGGATAGAAATCATCGGTCGTTGAGTCGTTCCAATGTTGTAACCTATTCACCACTCTTTCCCTAATAAAGTTCAGTATCGTCCTCTTGTCACGCCCAACCAGTGATGAAAGACCCAAGTAGTTGCCTCCCAAAGATGCCAACCTCACTGCCAGCAATTGTGAGAGACCTACTTTGACCCCTTCATCCACATTTGAACTGAACGATAAAGTAGTTTTTTAGAAATTAAAGACTCCCCCCCCCGAAGCCTCTGCTCAATGATGCAGCACCTCCCTAACAGCGGATCCCTCCTCATGAGTAACCTGGAAAATCATAAAACAATCATCGGCAAATAGGAGGTGAGACACCCTTGGTGCCCCTCTCTCTATTGCTACGCCATGGAGCCTCCCTGCAACTTTCATTTCATGTGGTAAGCTGCTCAATCCCTCAGCCACGATGATAAATAAGTACGGTGATAAAGGGTCACCCTGTCTGATACCACATGTTGGAATTGTAGGTTCATCTTCTGTGCTGTCAAATGGAATAGTATAAGATACTGTCCTAACACACTCCATTAGCAAAGCACCCATTTTGCATGGAACTCCATTTGGTTTAACATCCCTTCCAGGAAATCCCATTCCACCCGATCATAAGTCTTGCTCATATTGAGTTTTAAAGCTGCATAACCCACCTTTCCTTGTCATTTTTTTTGAAGTAATGATGAGACTCAAAAGTGATGATAACGTTATCTATAATAGATCTCCTTGTTATGATTGCACTTTGATTTCCTGAAATCAGTCTGTCTAAAATAAACTTCATTCTGTTTGCAAGAACTTTGGATTTGTTTTTTTATAGATAACATTAGCTAGAGCCGGAAACAGTCTCTCCCTGCTTTAGTACTGGGTAAGGTTGCTTACATCCGACTCCCCTTACCCCACCGTAGGTCGGAGCCTTTGTGGCATTGGGGTAATGATGATGATGAGTACCAACTTTTGAAAGGAGTACCAAATGAGTGTGATTAATTCATCTGGTTAACAACCTGACTCAATGTCTCTCGACAAAGCATGACCACATCTGGACCAACAACCTCCCAAAAGTGTTGAAAAAAAAAACCGGGCTTAACCCATCTGGCCCAGGAGATTTGTCCGGGAACATGGAGAATAAGGCGTTTTTCACCTCTTTTGAACAAATTGGCTGCAGAAACGATACAATGTGAGCTGCAGAAACCTTCCTCGTCATTCCCGAGAGAATACACTCTGGAGAACCCTGCAAAGAAGTAAACAAGTTAGAGAAAAACTCCCCAATGAGCCCTGTCATCTCCAACCTTCCTTTCACCAAGCTCCCTCCCAACCCCACCGTCTTATTTGCTCTCCTTTTTGTTTCACCGTAGTATGAAAATATTTGGTATTCATATCCCCACCCTGATACCAAAAAGCTTTCGCTCGTTGCCGCCAACATTGGTCTTGTTTTGCAAGCACCTGGAGGTATTCTTTCTTTACTTTCCATAATTTCTCATACTTTCTGCATCTGTTTTCTTTCTTAGAGATTGAATCCTTCTCCTACAATAATCCACTTGTCTACTGAAACTTCCCCTCTCGTCTATCCCCTCCTCCCCACTTCCTTCACACAATAACTCACCTGAGTCGCGACCCAGCAGCGACCGGCGCGCAACTGTACCGCGATCCAGTACGCGCGATCCGTAACGCAAAACGCGGGTACCTCAGTGATTTCTGTAACTATGGACTGACCACCCCCTCAGCTCTGCCAACACCACAACTCCTCTCCACTACATCCCGACAATCATCTTTAGGAGCCAGAAGTTCTCAAATTTAAACTTCCTACGCCTGCTAACCCATTGCTCTGATTTAAATTCTATATAAACAAGCATTTGCCTTGGCTTCTTCAAATCTGTCCACATATCCGATAACAGAACTCTATCAAGTTCTTCTTCCACCAATGCCGGAGTCCCCGTTGAATAGTTATATAGTGTTATAGTTATATAACTATAATATGGTTTCAAATTGAGAACTGAGATGTTTTTAATTGGACTGAATTTTTTTGACCTAGTCTCGTAGATCTCGATTTTATGTGTATTTCACTATTATCGAATTCTGGTCTGGCCTGTTTAAGTTTAGTCTAATTTGGAACTGAAATCGGTCCAATTAAAAACATGTTAAAAAGAACTCATGAAGTGATGGGGTTCCACTGGTGTCCAGAATGGGAAAGAAGAAAGAAGTCATGGGATATGTTGAATGGACGATTTTAATGATATATTCCTTATATGAGAATGAGAAAAAAGGGTGACTTCCTCATCCTAGTTTGGGTTTTACCGCTCTTATACTTTATTCATGAATATAAAAGATTCTTTAATTATTTATTTAGATTCTTTTTAAGAAATTATACATTTAAGATGCCCAATATGGAAAAATAGGATGATAGTTCTTTTTTATACTTTATATTTGTTGTTCAATTTATACGGCGCATCTAGTATATAACGGTTCTTTGATTAAGGGCTGCTGCGAGTTTAACTGCTAGAGAAAGAAGACTTCCTTGAAAACTATTACTCCCTCCATCCCATAAAATTCTTCCCGGTTTGACTTGGGATTGGAGTTTAAGAAATTGAGAATAAAGTGGAAATGTATGATTGTGGTTGAGTAAGAAAAAGGTAAAAGAATGTTAGCCACAGAATTTTCCAAAAGGGAAAATGGGAAGAATTTTCCAAAAGGGATGGTAAGTGAGAAAAATTTTATGTTATGGAGGGAGTATATGTTTACAGATGAGATATTTTTTTTGCTTGAACAGGTCTATAAACCCAGTGAATACAGTAGAGTCCTTGCTATTTGTGGTCCAGGGAATAATGGTGGTGATGGCCTTGTAGCGGCTCGCCATCTTCATCACTTTGGTTACAAGCCAATTATATGTTACCCTAAGCGCACTGCCAAGGCTCTTTATAGTGGTTTAGTGACTCAGGTATGGATGTGGCCCAATTTAGAGGAAAGCATGCGCACATGTGTGTGTATCTCTAATGCATATGGGTGCCTTATTTTGTAGCTTGAGACGCTCTCAATTTCTTTCTTGTCTGTGGAAGATCTTCCAAAGGACTTATCACAGAACTTTGATATTATTCTAGATGCTATGTTTGGATTCTCCTTCCATGGTAATTTTTCTCCCTTCTTGAGTTCTTTATTCGTCTCTCTTCACCTACTCACACACTCCCTCAAAAAGGATCAACATGAAACTTAGGCCAAGTTTATTTACAAGATTTTTGTGTGTTTGGTACCAGACATGTTTTCTGATCAGCCTTGATTCAGATTTATGTTTTCTGTCTTTTCTTGGGTTAAACATTATATATAATATATACAACTTATTTTCCAAGTAAAGATTTTCCACTGCAAACATTTTCTCAGAAATCATTGTCTACGGCATTATTTTTCCATTAAAACAAACAGAGCCTTTATGTTCACATATTCTCTTCAAGATTTCAACCCCCAAATATTTTACTTGGCCATGAAGTTTCTTCACCAACGGTTCAAATTGGATGCGGAGAAGTGGGATTACTTGAGTACCTCACAGAGGTTGTGGATTCAATGTGGACCACAATTCACCGGATCCAGATCGCATTCCTCGTGCAACATACCCATATCTAGATGTAGATTAAGGGTAGGGACATAGAAGGACTCAGGGAACATCACAATCACCCTTCAGTTGAGTGAGAGAGCGCAACTCACACACCCTTTGTTACTTAAAAGGTCATTTTTGTCAAATGACTCAAATCTATAGTACTCCCCATGATGTCTTTCTTATTTCTTTCATTGCCCCTAAATTATTTGCTAGAATTATGTTATTCTATGATTCTATCCAAATCCAGGTGTCCCTAGAGCACCTTTTGACGACCTAATTCGGAGGCTTGTAGCATTACAAAGTAATGAGCCAAGTCATAAGAAGTCACCAGCTATTGTGTCTATTGATATTCCATCTGGATGGCATGTTGAACAAGGAGATCTTAGTAATGAAGGCATTAAACCCGACATGCTTGTCTGTACAGATACACATCTTGTTTATTTTTCTTATGAATCTTGGCCTCGTTTGGTAACATTGATCACCTTAATCTGCTCATCAACCAAATAATATCCTGTGATTTGCTCATTTTGTTCAATTTTTTTACCAAATGATTTTACTTTCCGAAAACCATTACCAAACAGGAACCTAATCTCTGAACATGATGTAATCTGAAAGAGTCTTTACCTTTTATAGGTTTCTTTAACTGCTCCTAAGTTGTGCGCCAAAAACTACTGTGGCCCACACCACTTTCTTGGTGGAAGATTTGTTCCACCATCAGTTATTGACAAATTTAAACTCCTTTTGCCCTCATATCCTGGAACATCATTGTGCCTTCGTATTGGAAAGCCCCCAAAAATGGACATATCATCTCTAAGGGAGGATTACATATCCCCTGAGCTGCTTGAGGAGAATGTTGAGGTAGACCCTTTTGATCAGGTGAGTTTTAAGTATATGTGATTAGAGAGTATATTACTTTCGAAAACACCCCCACTCTCTAAAAAAGGTCATATTTCAAACATATTTGTCCCAAAAACAACTCTGTTTGATCAAAAGAATTTAGTTTTTAAGGTAGTTTACAAAAAATAGTCAGTGTGCAACTGTGCATGTGATACATTTAGTTAAACGACAATAGATGTTACTCCCTCCGTCCCGTAAAACTTGGCCAAAATTGACTTGTATGTGAAATAATAGAGAGATTATGGAGAGGTGGTGCGATTATTAAGAAGTGAGTTTATGTGGTTGATATTGAATTGGTAAAGTAAAAATAAAGTAAGAATGGTTTAGAATCACACAAATTTTACCAGATCTGGTATGAGACAATCTTCGTGGGATAGACCGAAAAGGAAAAAGGGGACAATCTTAGCGGCACAGAGGGAGTGCTTTAAATGGAATTGCCAAAGTTTTTGGGACGATTAAAAAAATAAAGTTGTCAAAGTTTTGTGCGACAGGAGTAAATAGTAAGTATGATTATGACTTAGCAGCTCTTACCTTTACCAAAATTTGAAAGTTGTATCTCGGTCAAACAAGACTTTTTGTTTGACAAAGGTAGTAGGCTAGTAGCATGAATTCTTTGTTAATGTGGGGATTCTTAAACGGTTTCCCTTGTTTGTCATGAGTATATATACGTCATATAATTCTGATAACTTGATTCTACTTAGACTCTAAAGCAAAACAAAATAAAGTAAGTAGAACAAGAAAGGACAAATACTTGTTTGTTTGCAAATACAAACTCTTTTGCTGTAGTTCGAAAAGTGGTTTGATGATGCGTTGGCAGCTGGACTGAAGGAACCAAATGCTATGGCATTGTCCACAACTGGAAAAGACGGAAAACCGTGAGTATCTTGCAGTGATACTTTCTTCTCAAAATCACATTTCGATATTATTTGGCATCATACCTCTATCAAAATCACATTTTGATATTATTCGATATTATCTGCATCTTTATGTTCATATTTTATCTCCTCTTGTTTATCTGCTATTTTTGAAAAAAAACACGAAGGAACTCTAACATCCTTCAACGATGCCTTACTGCATGACAAAATTAAGGTTAAGTTTAATATATGGAATACTGTATACCTATAACTAGACCATAACATTCTTTTGGTATTTATGGTATAGTTCTTCAAGAATCGTATTGCTAAAGGGAGTTGGCAAAAATGGATTTGTGTGGTTAGTTATCCTTTTTCTTGTCCCACTACATAGTCCTGACTGATTTATTCAATGTACGGTTTTACATTTTTTTTTGAATAATTATTTCTGGGTCCAGGTATACCAATTATGAAAGTCGCAAAGCTCGGGAAATTTACGAAAACCCTCACGCTGCCCTGCTTTTTTACTGGGATGGTTTAAACCGCCAGGTCAAACATACGCATTTCAATCTATGTTCCTACGCATTTCAATCTATGTTCCTACAAATAAAAAACTCTTGTTTGCTTGCTCGCTCGCTCGCTCCTGTGGATGTTCTCACTAAAAAATCCAAATGGGATTTCTTGAACTAACAAATACTATCCTCCGTATCATAATAGTTGCAACATTGGAATTTACACACTATTCATGCACTCTACTTTGACTACATTTTATTTATTAATGTATGTGATTTATTTTTTTTGAAAACTATTGTTGAATTCGTCTCATTACAATGTTTCATAATATGATTTTTCAAAATTTTTTACTAATAGAGAATTAAATATAATGACGGTCAAAGTTGTACATTGGCATGCGTGAAAAAGGAAATGTTGCAACTAAAAAAGAACAGAGGAAGTATTATAATTCTAAGAACTACTGTTCAGAAAATTGATTTTTTGTGATATTAATTGAAATAAGGGTGCCGATAGGTTAGTGGAATAATTCTTGTTAAGACCTGAGGTTTCATCCCAAAAGGTCAACCTGATAGGAGTAACCCAAAGCCTTATATAGTGTTTTTATTGTTTTATAATTTTCTGGTGTGGGACAAATACTTTAACACACCCCCTCAGCACGAATCGGGCTGGACAATATCTGGGTGTATAAATGGGCCAAACATACCCTTAACAAGCTATCCGTAATCATGGGTGCTAAACAAGTGGGCTGGACAATATCGGGGTGTATAAATGGGCCAAACATACCCTTAACAAGCTACCCGTAATCATGGGTGCTAAACAAGCAGTCAAACCACAATCGGAATTGGCTCTGATACCATGTTAAGACCTGAGGTTCCATCCTAAAAGATCAACCTGATAGGAGGAGTAGCCCAAAGCCTTTTTTTAACAACAAATAAATATATAGCCTAAAACAAACGATGTGAACATGTGGTAGAAGGCAAAAAGGACTAAACAGGCATAAATAAACAAATTAGCAAATGTTTGTTTTGGATTGTGCATGACAATATTTTAACGTTATCTCCTTCTGGATGGTTGGTTATGGCTCCTACTACTATCTCCTTCGCTGGTATTAGTAGCCCAAAGCCTTATATAGTGTTAAATTTGTTTTATAGTTTTCCGGTGTGGGACAAACACTTTAACAATTCTTTTTATCTTCGGTTTGCAGGTAAGAATAGTAGGATCTGTACAAAAAGTATCTGATGAGGAATCTGAAGAATACTTCCATAGCCGTCCACGGGGAAGTCAGATTGCAGCCGTAGCTAGCAATCAGGTCATTTATTTCTCATCCATATTTGACTCTTACATTCCATATGTCAATAGCTCTATTACTTTCAATTTACTAAATAAGTAAAATAAATAACTTAGAGCACAGTAATTCCAGGACGCGATGTTCTTTACCAAGCGTACAGAGAATTGGAAATGAAGTACTCTGAAAGGTTAGTCATCATCCAATGCATGTGCGACCTTTTTAATTACTTTGAACTTTGACCTGGAAATTCAAGGGAAGGAAATAGGGTTGAAACTTGAAAGGAAACAAAACTTGGACGGAAATAAATTAGTTTTTTTTTTATCTATTTGTGTGCGCGTGTATCTGATAGAGACCTAAGAATATTATCAAGTCTTTTAATATTTTGTAATAAAAGGGGTGTAGGCCTTATAACTAAGTGGAGGTGGGCTGGCCCATTAGAGAATGAATAAATAAGGTAGGCTGGGAATAGAGGAGGGAGGTTGGAATTATCGGGCTTAGGACTGGGACCTGGGAGCTGGCATTCTCTAACTGCCTTTGTATTTCTCTGTCTTCTATTATACGAAGCTTTCTGTGTTAAGCTCTTTTATTTTCTTCATCTTGTTTGTCGATTACCTGTGAATTGGCGGAAAACCTAACATTGGTATCAGAGCCTCGATCGTGGTACCTGTTTATGGTTGCTACCAGACGAGCGATGGAAGGGAGATTGGAAAACTTGGAGTGCGAGTTGGCGAGGCAGTCCGCAGATATGGAGCGCGAACTGGCGAGGCATAGAGAAGAAGCCATAATCAGGAGCGAGGAGGCTAAACGCAACCTTGATGAGTTCCGCGAGCTCATGTTGAAGAAGCTCGATTGCCACTCCCGCGGTCGATCAACAAGCTCCACAAGTTGCGCGAGGCATGGGAGTAGTGATTCCAGGACATCAGCAGGTAGTCATCGATCTATTTCCTCTAAACGTAATGGTGATTACAGAAATTGGATTGAGAAATCTGGAAGGAAAGTAGACTTGCCACTTTTTAATGGAACCGATGCTTATGGATGGACCATTAAGGTAGAACGTTTTTTTAAACTGAACCGTATTGATGAAGAGGATAAAATTGAGTTAGTTACCTTAGCAATGGAAGGCAGGGCGTTAAATTGGTTTCAATGGTGGGAGGAACATTCTAATGTGAGAAACTGGGGACTGTTTAAGGATGCTTTGCTTCAGAGGTTTGAACCTGGATTGGAACAGGACCCATATGGTCTCCTACTGAGTATTAAGCAAACTGGGAGTGTAATGGAGTACAGGGATGAGTTTGAGATGGTGGCAGCCCCGTTGAAAAATACTGATGTGAAGATTCTCAAGGGAATTTTTATGAAAGGGCTGAAAGCTGAAGTGCGAGCTGAGTTGAAGTTGAATCCTGTTAGGACACTGGCAGAAGTAATGGATAAATCATTAAGGGTAGAAGAAAGAAATCACACTCTGAATTCCAGCAGATTTAAAGAAGAGGATAGAAGGGGACTGAAGGAGAAGGGAAATGTTCCCTCACAGACTCACAGATGGTTGAATGAGGACAAGTGGAAGAATAGTTTGAGTAACCAAAATATTTCTGAGAAACCTACCATGGAGAAGAGCAATGAAACAGGAGATAAGGAGACTGGAATAAGGAGTACACACAGATTATCTCAAGCTGAATTGCAGGAGTTGAGCAGAAAAGGCCTTCGTTTCAGATGTGGAGAACAGTGGGGAAAAGGTCACATTTGCAAGATGAAGCACTTTCAGATCATAATGCTAGATGAGTCTGATGATGAGGATGAATTGGTAAAGGATTCAATGGCAATTAGTCCAAAGTGGGAAGAAGCAGGCACCTCTAATATGCAGTTGTCTTCCATGAACAAAGAAGGAATCACAGTCCCTAAGACTTTCAGAGTGAAAGGGAAATTAACAAGTGGCAGAAGGACTAAAGATATTAGCATTCTAATTGATTGTGGGGCTACTCACAATTTTATATCTCAAAGGGTAGCTCAAACAGCAGGAGTATCTGTCCACCAGCTCCCAGAATATAAAGTGGAAATAGGAAATGGGGACATAATCAGAAATGATGGTAGATGCGAAGCTGTTTCTATTAACATACAACAGACTAACATCATTCAAGACTTCTATGTCTTAGAATTGGGAGAAACAGAGATGGTTTTGGGATTAGAATGGTTATCGGGATTGGGAACTGTTGAATTTAATTTCAACCAGCTCACTATTAAATGGAGGGAAAATGGAAGAGTCAGGAAGCTTCAGGGAGATGCCCATCTAAGCAGACACCAAGTTCCTCTCAAATCTATCACTGCAAAGATTCAAGCAAATGAAGAAGAATTCTGCTTGCTCAAATCTGCAATGATTGAAAAGGAGATGGAAAAGGAGACAGCCAATCCATGGATGAAGGAAGGGTTCACAGAAATTGCTGATAGGTTCACTCTCGAATACCAGTGGAATACAATCCAAGTAGACCTGGACTGTATGAATCAAGCTGTGGAAAGGTTAAAGAGGTTGATTGAGCACACAGTTGAGAAGCATGAGGAAAATTTTGGTAAGCGGGTTGTTGTTGCTTTCTATGAGGCAGCATGTTGTGCCCTGGCCTCCATAGATTATGAAAGGATCAAGTTTGTTCCTGGGAAGATGTTGATACAACTGGAGAGGCAGAGGCTGGGAGAAGTCTTAGGCACATGGAGTAGGTCGGGTGGCTGCGTACTGAGTTCTGTCTTACCTTCCTCGGGTGCTGATTCGAAGACTGAGACTTACAGTCCCGAAGATACTTATGTGTTCTTCATGGGAGATTCTGTACGAGATCAGACTTTGGGAAGGGATGGAGATAACAACTGTGGCCAAAAGGATCACTATGTGGACACAGAGATTGAATGGAGATCAAAACGAAGAAAACTATACGAGCTGAAGTACTGGGAAGGCAGAGGAGCGAGGATAAAGCATAATGGCATAGCTATTTCTTACTCAGTCACTTCCCACCTTGAGGGCAAGGTGTTTGTCAAAGGGGGAGTGATGATAGAGACCTAAGAATATTATCAAGTCTTTTAATATTTTGTAATAAAAGGGGTGTAGACCTTATAACTAAGTGGAGGTGGGCTGGCCCATTAGAGAATGAATAAATAAGGTAGGCTGGGAATAGAGGAGGGAGGTTGGAATTATCGGGCTTAGGACTGGGACCTGGGAGCTGGCATTCTCTAACTGCCTTTGTATTTCTCTGTCTTCTATTATACGAAGCTTTCTGTGTTAAGCTCTTTTATTTTCTTCATCTTGTTTGTCGATTACCTGTGAATTGGCGGAAAACCTAACAGTGTCTATATTGTGTTTTATTAAATGAAGACTAAATACTTATTCTTATGTGTATAATCTCAAACCAAAATATTTTGGTAACAAGATTTGGATGTTGTTTTTGTTGTTGATGTGTAAAATCTCAAAACACACTCACACATACACCTTGCTTCCGTCCCACTAATATTAGGAGTTTGGGTCATAAGGAAATGGTGGGATTATTAAGAAAAGTATTTTAAATATAATTGGTATTGAATTGGTAAAGTAAGAATAAAGTAAGAGTGGGTTTGAACCACACAAACAGTACTACCTCTCTCCCATATGGGATGTCTTGTTTTAGTTTGACACGATTATTAATAGTGTTTGAAAAGTAAAAGTTGTAATTGAGATTTGAGTAGAATAAAGTGAAATGATATGGAACACATATTTCTTGCCAAAAAGGAAAACATGACATTCATTTTATGACAACCCAAAAAGGAAAGTACCATAACCAAAATGGGATGGAGGGAGTACCTAATATGGTATGAGACAAACAAAAAAGATGGGACAAAGATAGTGGGACAAATGGAGTATATACATAAATACATACAGAGAGGAGGGCTCTGGTGAAATCTCCTTTTAAAATGAGAGCTCCTCCTTATTATGTGAACTTTTAATCTTCATCATTTTTTCAATCAATCCATAGCACACAAAGTTTCATTTTTGAGTCCGGTGAATGTCTATTATATGTGTATTTTACAACTATTTAAGTCTAATCTTGTATGGGACAGAAACCGGTCCAATTAAAAACATCCTTAATTTTGGGATACCTTGTTAGGGAGTGGGAGGCAGATGGGCCGAGGCTCTAGGAGGCAAACGGGCCAATGCTTCAGGAGGACGGGCCTCGCCCATTATTAGTTTATGGGTTGCTGCCAGTGGACCTAATTGGGCTGGGTTGACTGCTGGGTTTCATTACTTTATTTCAGTCTATTGTTATGTCTAATAAACTGTTGGGCCTATATGGTCATATTTTATTATTAGGTTAATGGGCCTAGATGGCCATATTTTATTATTAGGTTAAGGAGTATTTAAGGAGGTCTTGTGAACTATTATTGATTATCGAGAATACAGATTTGGTTTGAGCCTAAGGCTGGGCAGTCGATAACACCGTCTGCTAGGGTTTCTTTTTCTGCTTCTATCAATTTGGTCCGACCTGCCGGATCCTATCCACCGCCCTACGTTCATCATGACTCGTTCCACCATTGATCAACGCATAGATGCGATAGAAGTAGACCAGAAGGACATCAGGGCAGAATTGCAATCCACCAACGCCAAGTTGGATGCTATCACGCAAACCCTAGACAAACTGGCGCAGAAGGTTATGGCATCGGGGGGAACGCTGGCTGATTCTGAGTCAGGAGGAGGAGGCACGGCTGACTCGCAGAACTCCCACAACCCTAGGTTTGTGACCGCGCCTCTGACGCTACCGGAGTTTGAGGGGGCAGACCCGATTGGATGGCTTGCCAGGGCCAATCAGCAGTTTGAAATACATCAGACCCGACCTGAGTTGAAGGTGGCATCAGCCATGGTAGCAATGGAGGGTCCTGCTTTGTACTGGTTTTCTTGGACACGGTCGCGGAAACCAGGCATAGCTTGGGAGGAGTTTTCACAAGCCCTTGTAGCCCGTTTTGATACTCGGTTCAAAGGGAGCACGTTCGAACGGTTGGCTGACGTTAAGCAGACAGGATCCGTGGATGACTATGTAAATTTGTTCGTGCAATTAGCCAGTCAGGTCCCAGGTTTGAGTGATGCCCACTACTTGGGGTACTTTATGAAAGGGCTACGGGACACCATTCGCAGTTCCTTACGGATCCTACGCCCAATTGATTTGGAAGCTGCTATGGAATTAGCAAGAGATATCGAAGAAGACTTGGCCGTACAGTCCGGAGGGAGATCAGAATGGGGATACGACAATCAGCAGTGCCGTTCCAGTAATTACACCAAAGTTGGCGGGTTTTCGGGGCTCTCTTCCACGCCAGTTACTGGAAACCAAGGGGCAGCAGGAAGCACAACTTTCTCGCGATCTCCAGGTAGTACCTCGGGGTCCGGGTCAGCCATGACTGCCAGTCGGAGAATCGCTCTCGGTTCACACGCCTCTCACCGCAGGAATTTGCAGACCTACGTGCAAAAGGGCTTTGTTTCCGTTGCAAGAAGCCCTATACCCCCAGGCATGAATGTCCCCTAAAACAGTTAAGAGTAATGGTTGTCGAGGAAGATGAGGAACTCGACCTCAATCAAACTGAATCTTTTATCCTGCCCGAAGAGGTTGAGCAGCTAGGGGAACAGAAAGAGAAACAAGCAGCAGCTTCTTCACTCCAACCTTGGGGACAAGGTTGTTTTGGAGGGGGAGGAAATTGTTAGGGAGTGGGAGGCAGATGGGCCGAGGCTCTAGGAGGCAAACGGGCCAATGCTTCAGGAGGACGGGCCTCGCCCATTATTAGTTTATGGGTTGCTGCCAGTGGACCTAATTGGGCTGGGTTGACTGCTGGGTTTCATTACTTTATTTCAGTCTATTGTTATGTCTAATAAACTGTTGGGCCTATATGGTCATATTTTATTATTAGGTTAATGGGCCTAGATGGCCATATTTTATTATTAGGTTAAGGAGTATTTAAGGAGGTCTTGTGAACTATTATTGATTATCGAGAATACAGATTTGGTTTGAGCCTAAGGCTGGGCAGTCGATAACACCGTCTGCTAGGGTTTCTTTTTCTGCTTCTATCATACCTCCTAAAGAAAAATGAATGTTTTTTACTTGGATTGATTTTTTTTTATATGATCTAGTTTGTTTTGTCTGTTTAAATATGGTTTGGTGAATTGGTTTTGCTATGATAACTGCTATTTCGAGTAATGAAATTTTCTAATAATCTTTTAGTTCAAATAAAAAATGTCATTCAGTGAAAAGGTGCTTAACGTGTGAAATGTGAAATATTTACTTTCATAGCACTATGATGCACTTGTATGTTCAGATGTTGTACTTTTTCACATTTGAAAAACTTCGCTTGTTTATAAAATTGTCACGATTCCCCCCTGAAAAGTTCATTTTTTATCACTGTGTAGAGTGCATTAGATCACCACATGTGCGGTATAGCTGAGTAAAAGTGCAGTTCGCACTTTTACACTTTCACTTTTTATATTTGAATTATATACGTGTGTGGGTTTGTGTATGACCCTATTCTAGTGAGAATTGAGAATTGTCATTCTTTTGAGAAATGAGGATGGTTCAAAATGGTGCACATTTTGGTTCATGGCAGTACACATTTCTCATTTCTGGTAGAAATGAGAAATGAGAAAAAGTTCAATTTATTTACAAAAATGCCACAACATTTTCCGATTAATAACAATGCAATATCTTTGTTTCAGATAACGCACAACTTGAAAACTAATGCACCAGATTCATACTTTTTTTTTGGAAGTATGAAAAAAAATGCACCAGATTCATACTCATATCTCATTAGGTTGCATTTTCATTTGATCTAATACATACTTAGTATATGTTAATATGTGTGTGTATATAATTTGGATCAAATGAAATCATGATTTAAGGGAAAAAATGAGAATGAATCTAGTGTGTTGGATTTTGGGATTGTGCATTAATGAAAGAGAAATATGGACAGCCACCAATTACAAAATGCGGTGATATTTTTTGTGAATAAATTAATCATTTTCTGCCAATTTGAATTGTGCGCTATCATAATTATAAATGCGCACCGTCACCACGTCACGAATCAAAATGTGCATTGTTCTGGTCACTCATTTCTCACGGGAAGGAAGACCTATTCTTACCAAAATCTGAGCCTATATTTATATTAAATTTAGTTATAATAAAGATTTAGCCGACCCCAAAATCTGTTGGGAATAAGGCTTTGATGTTTTTGTTTAGTTATAATAAAAATTATTTCTTGGATGAAAATTAAGAACTAATCTTGATGATTTAAATATGAAAAAATTGAAACGAAGCTACGGTAACAAGGACCACAAAATATACTAAAAGTGTACATGTACATCTCAAAAGTGAATCGGAACTTGAAATAAAAATGTACATTAGTTAAAAATATGATAGCCATTTTAACACTCATTAATATACTTTTATGCACAGACTATGCACTTTGTATCATAAAAATGCACATAAAAGTTTAACATATTTATTAATTTGCGCTACGCCTTTTTGTTAACAATTCTTCTAATCCATATGTTTTCAAGTGAAAGGGCTAATATATATTTTATTTTTTCATAGGAATTTGACTTTGCACCCCATTTTTAAAAATCTTTGTTTTCGCACCATAACCCCGTATGAAAAGGCAAAAATGCCCCTCGATCAGGAATATGTTGAAGGCCAAAAATATAAATATAAAAGCAAAAGACAAAAATAAATAAATAAATAAATAAATAAAGGCACAGTGGCCCTCTTCTATCCTCTTCAATTTTCTTCATATGGATTATGCACTGCCAATTCTGTGTAAGAAAGAATAAGAAAACAATAGTAGATACAAGCTATTTTTATTGGACAGATGGAGTATCAAGTATGTACCATGGGTTTGGTGCTGGATGGGCTTATATTTTCGTATTACCTTATGTTGTTCAAAATAAATCAGACTGCCTTAATGGTAAGAAGTTGATTGTGTTGCACTATGCAGAACGGTGATCATTCCTAAACCAACGAACTGGGGAGGGTACCGACTCAACCCTAAATCGTTTGAATTTTGGCAAGGACAACAATCTCGTTTGCATGATAGGTACACATTAAAATCCATTCTTCCTTGTTTCCTGGTGACTCAGTTAATGAAGTGCAAAAGTGAAAGTGTGGAACTGTAACATCATGAAATTGTATTGTGAGAATTGAAGTGTAACATCTGGTGTGATGTAAGATCGATGGTCAATGCTGGCCTGGGGCTAGTTGTCCCCACTAGCAGGCAGCATATCACACCAGATTTGGGGGGGGGGGGGGGGGGGGGCTGATGCCCACACAATTTAACAAAACCATTCAGGGCAACTTTTATGTGTCCAAATATTTTGGTAGTGTAATCCTGATGAGTACGTTGAGTAGACCCCATAGATGATTACTTGGGTGCAAATTATTTACAGGTTGCGTTATTCTCTAGAAGACATGGGTGGAAAGCGAGGTTGGAAAATTGAGCGTCTGGCACCCTGACTGATGATGCTATCTAGTTTCTCCACTATGATCGCATTGTATCTCATCCCTCGCTCCCAACTTTCCTATGCTGCCCAAACTTTGGTTTATGTTGCCCAAAATTTGGTTGCACAAATTGCATAAACAAAACAAATAACAGGGATCTAATATCCCAACACAGTTATTTGTTTTGTTTATGCGATGTGTTGTGGTTTTTAAATAAAATGTTTCTGAACTGATGTCCCTTTAGCTACACTATCATCCAACAAATAAAATGTCTCCTAATTTCAGCATGAAATTGCGCTATTCAATAATAAGATCTTAATTTTAGAATTAGGTCTACATAAGAAATGAGCCTAAAACCCCCCACCCCTCATATCTTTAGGTTTATTTTGATATATTTTTTTGTAAAAATTTGATAACAAATAAAACAGTTATTGCTATGTAAAAAAAGAGGGGCTTTTTTAGTATAAGACTAGTCCCAACTCCCAAGAAATCATGCTAGCTTCTTATATACTACTCCGTAGTACTTGATACTCCGTGCTAGGTAGCTTTGCGCGTCATTTCTTCCCTAGCAGAAAATCGTCAATTTAGTTGGCGACTTTTGTTAACCAGAGCTGATTTGAGCAATATTTTGAGATTATATGTAAAGAGGAATCATGTTTTGCATCACATTGAAGTAGTAGTAATTTAGGAAATTACCTGATAGATTGAGATTTAGGAATACCTGGATCCATTATAGATGAATGAACTGGAATAAATCGTGTATCCCTTTTGGTCACTTTCCTTATGAGATTCTTGATAGGTGGAGATCTCTTAATTATCTTGTGTTATTATTCCATACGGAATAAGCATATATATATATAGAGGCGGAGGAGAGGGTTAAGGAACCTAATCCTAGATAGACTCAAATATAGGTTCAACCTATCTTTAAACCAATTGAAGGTCTAGAACTATATGATTTCTAATAATAATATATAACCTCCAATTACATGACTATTATTAGAATATTACTTATTAACTAAATATATTCTAACATTCTCTCAATTGGTCATGTGATTCTTGATGAATTGATAAAAACTTAAATTGTGCAATATTCATCAAAACAAACTTGCTAAGAAAAAATTTAACTGAATTTCAATTCTAATGTATCATGGCGATTGCACACCATTTATATTGACATGCTCTCTTCCATGTAGACAATTCTAATTCATCCTTATCATTTGAGAATCTGAAAGTCTCAATTCTTAAATTTGAGGAATACTTAAATCCTCAAGACTTGTTATCATTACAAATAATTATACATGATCACAAATAAATAGATAACAAGTAAAACAGAAACACAACATTTATTGAATTCAAATGTGTCAAAACAATAATTTGTAAAAATGAGCTAACATATATCACTGACAATACACTATCATAACTAGGCTTTATCAATCCTGGGCGACAATCCTCTCAATTAACACTATGTTTTTGAACTTCTTTTACTGACAAGTACTTCAAATTTATGTGTTTAGCACCTTTAGTGTACCTATCACTTTTTGTGAAGAAGACTGTTGCGGAAATATTACAAACAATTTATCAGTAGCTTAACTATACTGTCGACAATCCTAAATTCTGAAACAAAATTCTGCAGCCACAAACCATGAATAGTGGTCTCAAAGCATGCCACACATCCTGCCTCCATAGAGGAAGTACCATAGTGGAAGTAGCAATAACGGTTTGTTTACTGCTCTTCCAAGATATCCTGCTCCTTCATCTAATATGAACAGATAAGTAGATGTTGACTTTCTTCTATCGACACATTTAGCATAGTCCGAATTTGAATATTCAATCACATCAAGATGATTAGATATCTTAAATGCAAGCATGTGATCTTTGGTGCCTTGCAAGTACCTCAAAACTTTCTTTGCAACGGTCTAGTGGTCCGTGCTAGGATTACTTTGATATCGTCCCAGTATTCCAACAGCAAAACTAATATTGAGACGAGTACAAGTCTGAACATATCCCAAAAAATCAACCACTAATGCATAAGGAATTGTTTCCATCTCTTGACGTTCCAATTCATTTTTAGGACATTGTAATAAACTAAACTTGCCCGTTTTTGAATTGAAACCACACCTGAAGAGCAGTTTTCCATATTAAATCTTTCTAAGATATGATTGATGTAGCTTTTCTAACTTACCCAAAATTCCTTGTGAACGGTTTTGAAATATTTTTTAATTCTAATAACATAGGATGCATCACCCATATCTTTCATCTTAAAGTTCTTAAAAACGAACTTCTTAACATCATACATCATGACCATATCATTCGCAGCAAGCAATATATCATCAACATATATGACTAAAATTACCAACCTTTTGGATCCACCAGGCAACATAACTAAATCTCTTACTTTATTATCATACATGAATTCAAGTTCTTCATTCATGGAATCAATCCACTTATCCGAGTTTTTTACAATCCATGGCTTCCTCAAATAAGACTAGATCCTCACCAATGCTCAAGTCACGCTCATGCTTAACAGAATATAGTAAATAGTCATCTGGAATAACAAATCTTTTTCCCTAAATGACCTTTCTTAACGCCATTCCTTCTGGAAAATCATCATTTCCTTGAGTGATGACATGTTCATTTGAAGTGGTCTCAACATGCTCATTAGACTCTTGTTCACCAACTACGCCTTCATTCTTATCATTAGTGACTGTGTCACTAACTATATATTCAGGTCGTTTGTTGGTGTTCGAGTTACTATTGATGTGTCTGACATGTGGAAACATGGCATTATCTTTTTCTTCTTGAATGACCACCAGTGTTTCCATCGAGCGTTTGCATACGCCGAACGGGCGATGGAGGGGTGTGCTTCGTTCTTGCGGTGTGCAGAGTCTGCTCTGCATCGTTCTGGTTAGCATGGTTTCTTAGAGTTTCAACCAGCGCCCTCATGACCAGCGGGTCCCCCCGGGCATCAGCTTGGATCAGGTGGGTGAGGTCTTCCAGCATGCCTAGGTTTGACCAACTGTTGTTTTGTGGCTCACCGTAGGTCAGGGTTCGTGATATTCGATTTTCAAGCAATTATTCGAAGAGGTCACCGTAGACAATCAGCTAGAGGATGATTGTCGACTATTTGTGTTGTATAATTGTAACTTCGGGTTCGTAGAGTGCTATCTAGCACAAGAGCTTGCTCGGGAAATTTTTGTTTAGTTTCCCACAGATGGTGCAAATGTTGAAATTTATTCCTCGTGATCCAAGGGCCCAACACGTTCCTATGGGCTTTCATTGGATTTTGGTGGATCATTTCTCTTTTTGTAAGTGGATTAGATGATATCAAACACAAGCAATAACAACAAGTGGAAGGTAAAGTGGGTCGAATTCTATATATGACTTCGAGCAATTACAGCACTCTTACCGAGATCGTCACTACTCCCTACCCTCGGCCTCTCCTGCATAACGTCTAGTCATTGTCCCAAGTCTCTACACCAATCCCTGCCCCACTGTAGTCCTCATTGCCTCAACATCCCTACCCCCAGCACTCTTACACCCACCCCTACCACTACCCTAAACCCCCAACCAAACACATCTCCCGACAATGCGCTAGCCACCTCAGACCACCACCACTGTCCCCTGCCCCCAACCCTTGGTCTCGCCCCTACCCGTCCTCCCCAATCTATAGCCTCGTTGTTCCTACACTCCCCTTGCGTGCACATACCGCAACCCCTTCCCACCCTAACCTCTGCCACCATCATCAACATACCACCACCATTGTCCCCTGCCTCTTTCTACGTAAATAATTAAACTCAAATATTCATTAAAAGTAGATTAATTATGATCAGTTTGATCTATTCAATTAAAATTTCTAATTAACCAAACTAGTCACGTCACTTTGGTAATTAACAAACTATCTTACCATTAGAAATTTAAGTGAGTAAATATATGTGAACAAAATTATTTAAATAAATTAGCCAGACCACTTTGGTGACTAACAAGCTACATAAATATTTAAACAATTAATTGGGTAAATAATAATAGGAGACAAAACTAATATCACTTTAAATTTTATTAGTGCAATAAAAGTCTCCAACTAAATATCTTGAACAATAAACTGATATGCGAAAGCTTTAGGGTCCATAAATTAAAATCTAGAAATTTGACGCTAATTAAAATCAAACTCGTTTGTAAATTTACGTCAATAAAATAAAAAGCAAGTAGATTTAATTACATTAGTAAATAAATCGATCAAAATAAACTTTGGGACTCAAATATTGAATTACTTTCATTCACATAGCCCATAGTGACGGTCCAAACCCTAATGATGTTTGTCGTCATAGAAAAAACAGGGTGATCTTGAGAGATGCATCCAAGGGGATCCTATCCCTCAAGTTGGTCACTTCCTCAATCGCCGGATACCTTTGCGCACGGGCTAGTACCTCAGCGTAGCTAGTGCTCGGGTCCCTCTTCTGGTCGCGATATAAATCCCCGGTTAGGAACGCATCGGTGAAGAGTGTGATCCTCATACACTGTGAATTGATCAACCTTCAGTATCTCGTCCCTCCATCAGGTGAGGAATTTGGAGAGGGATTCCCATGTTCTCTAGCGGGCGGTGAGGTAGTTGAAATGCCTCTTCAACGTCATGCTCGAAGCAAAATGAGCATGAAATTGTTTCGATAGTTCGTAGAAGCTGTAAATGGTTCCATGCCGCAATTGACCGAACCATTCCAGTGTTGATCCTCAGAAAACAACCGACATATGGCATCATCAGATGCCCCTAGTAGCATAAGCCCACCCTGGTAGACTAAGTCGCTAGGCGGCCTGCAATCTTGGGGAATATCTACGGCCATGATCCTCGCAGAGAAGGGTGAAGTGAGGCAAAGTCTGGGCTCAGCTGGGTAGTTCGTCAATCTGCCGTTGCAATCCCGCCATCGTAACCTCCTAAGCTAGCGTTGGGGGTTGGCGAAATAGGGATGTTCCCCAAGGTCTCTTCACTAACGCAGGTTACTCTACGGTCTGGCGGTTGTTCCTTTCCAAGTTCTAAAATCGATGGTCTTCGCTTTCCATGGTGGGGGTTTGTTCCCTCGTTCCGTGGCTGTTACGAGGGACCCCATGTGTTTGCTATGTCATGGTGTGCCTCTCCGTTCGGGACTCAGAATTCCCAGTATGATGCATGGCTCCTCCCGAATGGCCTCGGCCTCCAAGCCTTCGGTTTTACCGGTGTCCTGTTGATCCTCCTGAAAGCTTAGGTGCAATAGGTCTCGAACCCTCCAGTGTTTCCATCGAGCGTTTGCATACGCCGAACGGGCGATGGAGGGGTGTGCTTCATTCTGGAGGTGTGCAGAGTCTGCTCTGCATCATTCTGGTTAGCATGA